CTAGGATTGCTGCTCGGCTGTCTGTGGATATCGTGATGTTCTTCCTTCTTATACCTAGGCTCAACATCTCATGGATGCAGTTAGAGATGGCCACTGTTTCCGCTTGGAATACTGTGGCGTATTTCCCTAGGCTACTGTACCCTTCGATATTGAGCCCCTTGCTGCAGTATCAGCCTGCCCCTGAGAAGTCGTGTTTCTTTGATCCGTCTGTGTATCAGACTATGTCGTAATTATCATGTATTTTAACTGTTTTTCATTCCTCTCTGCTACCGATCGTAGTTGTGAATTTCTTCTCGAAAATGTATTCTGTGATGATCCTGTCTTTGGGCATAAGATACATATTCATTATATTTACGTTTCCAGTCTGCTTTCTGATCTGGCTGTGGCCTCTTCCTGTGTTTGTCCAGTATCCCCATGTATGTACTCTTAGGGCTGTCTTCATTGCGAGTTCCTTGACCTTGATGTCCATTGGCGTACAGTTGGCGATGACTTCTAGTGCCCTCGTCGGTGTTGTTTTCATCACTCCGAATACCCTTTTTAGGGCTGACCTTTGAATGCTGTCCATTTTCTTGGAGTCTGTAATCATGTTTGATGTTTGCCATCAGGTGATGTTGCCGAATGCTACTCTGCGAACAATGATCGCGTCGTAGATCCATTTAGCTGTTTGTGGGGTCATGCTCCACGTTGGTCCTAGAACTCTGCATAATAGAGTCAAGTTCCTTTTTGCCGCTGCGACCTTGCCGAAGACGTGCTTACTCCATGTGAGATTCTCGTTTATCGTTATCTCTAGATATTTGACCTTCTTTGATAGGGTTAGTTCCTTTCCCATGAATTCCAGTTTGCTCAGATTGGGTCTTATGGTTTTTCTCGTGACCATCATTGTTTCTATTTTGTCTAGGTTCACTGATAGCCTACCAGGCTATCAGCAGGCAACCACCATTTCTTTCTCTGTAATGGCTTCTTCTATGTAGTTTATCATGTGGAGTGCGACCTCTACGGAATATCCGGCTCTGAACGCATTCTGGCTTTTGTGTAGAGGTTTGTTGGTTAGATGAGTGTTCTTAATGTATCTATTTATTAATCTCTCGGTAAGTTTTAGGGTCGTCGACATTATTTGCAACTATACAGGGTGCCCAAAATTGTTTGATGTCTTTGAATGGGGTGTTTCGGGGGCTGATTTGAAACAATTTTTTTCGTAGCGAATATATTCTTCGAGTCTTCGTTAAGGAGATATTGACAGAAACCACCGACTAATCAGAGCGCGAGTTTCTGTTTCTGGAATATCTCCTTAACGAAGCCTCGAACACCATTTTCGCTAAGGGAAAATTGTTTCAAGTCACCCCCCCCCCCTCACCTGGAACCATCCCTTTGAAGGACCTCCAACGTTTTTGGGTTATCCTGTATATTGCTCATAACTATTGTTATTGCATGAAACCTATTGCTTATAGATTGCCGCTAAAAAGAGTGAAATAAAATAATTTTTTGGAAAAAAATTCAACCGACTTCGAAAAAGGTGCACTGAAAAGCATGAAATAATTTCTAGTTAATTTATATGAATACGCACTAGCTCTAGATATAATTGGTTAAAAGTATAGGAAAATGTAGTGAAAAGCATGAAATAATTTCTATTTAAAGTTCATTGTTATTCACCGTCTTTTGATGAATTTGGTTAAATTATTCAATACATCATATTAAATGCAATGCACATTTTTCGGAGGCGGCGCATAAGGTAAAATTACTGTCCTAGCTAATTATCGAGGACTGTCTGGATTCTAAAAAGATCGATATACGTCAACACGATTCGCCTGTCTCTCTCTTTCTTCCGGGTCCGTCCCCTGGGGGAGTCGATAGTGTTAGATCTCCCCAGAATAAGAGGACCCTAGAGCAAAAATTTCCTTACAATTGCTGGAGACTAGAGTTGTACGAGGTTTCCGAGTACTTGCCTCGATGAAGTGTTATAATGGAGAGCGCTTGTCTTTCCATTTTCTTTCCCGGTCGGCCTGTGTGGGTTCGTTACAATAAGAACCGCTACCAGTGGTACTGGAACTAATAATCAGTTATTAGGCGCCGTTTGTCGTTTTACAATCTCATCATCTTTGGGTGGGGTATGGTCCTCATGGCCAAGGTACCGGCCTTCGGAAATCTATCGAACATACTATATGTCTCTCTCTCTTCTGTCTCTCTGACAATGTTGGCCACCACAGAGAGCGACGTGGTGCGGAGAGACGTAAACGCCTGGAAATTTTGGCGTCCAAATTGTTCTCCGAAAATGGGAATACATAGACCGTTACCACTGACATACGTCACGTAATCGTCATCGTCGTGTGCGAGAAATATGTTACAAAGCTTCGTGCTTCGTCTGTTTCGAACTGCGAGACTTCTTGACTTTCTTGTGATTCACCAGTTTCACATAAAAATCTTTGTTTCCTTTAAACATCGGTATTTGCTTCGTCTGCGAACTGGAAAATTTCTTACGCTAATTCTGTCAACTCGACAAAATTCTGTTCGAGCAAAGATACCGAACAACTACCTACAGACAAAAGTACCAAATTTGGTTTAACTATTTGTCGAAGGAACAAAAAATATGAACTGTAATTATTGCTATTATACGTATTCATATTCATACAGTATTTCCATGGGGAGAGTTTATACATTAGCAGTAATCAATTTTGCCGCCCCTCCCCTCCAAAAAAGCCCCAAATCTACTCAAACTATATTTTCGTGTACATACTATATACATTAACTATTAATTCCACATAGATAATAAACATGTATACATTGACTGCATTCAATATTGCCGCCTCTACCAAAACCTAACCCAAACCGGAATTAAAAATTCTTTACATTTGCGCCGCCTCCGAAAAATGTGCATTGCATTTAATATGATGTATTGAATAATTTAACCAAATTCATCAAAAGACGGTGAATAACAATGAAGTTTAAATACAAATTATTTCGCACTTTTCACTGCATTTTCTCATACTTTTAAGCAATTATATCTAGAGTTAGTGCGTATTCATATACATTAACTAGAAATTATTTCATGCTTTTCACTGTACCTTTTTCGAAGTCGGTTAAATTTTTTTCCAAAAATTATTTTATATTAAATGATATTGAATAATATATTAAATTTCTATTTCCTTTATATTAAGTTATGTTAAAAAACCTTTTTGTAGTCGGCGCAAAATGAAAAATTACTTACCATCAAAATTACCAAACTTGGTTTGGGGCAAACTCTGTCGGTGGGGCAAAACTTACGCCATTAAATTATTGCTATAATCATACCTACTTTAGACATTATATACATTAACATTATTCAATATCCTCACCTCTATCAAATACTATCCCAACCTACCCAGAGGTTATTTTCATAGAAACAGTATATACATTAGCAGTAACTAGTATTTCCACCCCCAGGCTCCGCGAAAAAGAATGCCCCAAACCTACTCAGACTGTATTTTCGAGTAGATAGTATATACATTACCTGTATGCAATATTGTCCCCCTCCCGCATCGGCAGAACAAATACATCAAACTCTCTCAGATAGTATTTCCACGTAGACAGTACACATGTATACATTGACACTATTCAATATCGGCGCCTCCACCAAAAACTATTTCAAATCTACTCAGACAGTATCTTCGTGTAGATAATATACAGGGTGTCCCAAAAATGTTGTAACACCTTGAAATGGATGGTTCGGGAGGTGATTTGAAACAACTTTTTCGTTAGCGAAAATGTTTTTCGCGGCCGCTTAGCACGTATTCTTCGCTACCACGGCCGCTCCAACGGTATACGCGCGCTCTGATTGGTCGGGGTTTTTTGTTAATATCTGCTTAACGAAGCCTCAGACAACATTTTCGCTAAGGAAAAAATTGTTTCAAATTACCTCCCGAACCACCCATTTCAAGGTATTACAACATTTTTGGGACACCCTGTATACATTAACTGCATTCACTATTTTGGGCCCCCCCCCCCCTCGCATCGCCAAAACAAGTACATTAAACCCTCACAGACAATACTTTTACGTGGACATTTATTGTCTGGCTGAGGTTTCCATTGGACAGTACCTTGGCTTTACGGCCATACCTGCCCCCACCCGAAGGTGATGGGTTTGTGAAACGACAAACGGGAGCCTAATAACTCATTATTAATACCAGTGACAACTGGTGGGGGTTCTTATTCTGACGAACCCTCACACGGCCGACCAAGAAAAAGTTTGTGAAAGACAAGTCCTCGCCATTGTTACATTTCATCGAGGCAAGTACTCGGAAACCTCGTAAACCTCTAATCTTGAGCAATTGTAAGGAGTTTTGTTTTGGTTCCTCTTTTTCTGGGGAAGTCTATTGCCACCAACAATCCTAGGGGACGGCCCGGACTTTCACGTAGACAGTTTACATGTATACATTGACAGCATTCAATATTGCCGTCCTCACCAAAAACTAACTCAAGCAGAAATTCCAAATTTTTGATATTGCGCCGACTGCGAAAAGGTTATTTAACATAATTTAATATAAAGGAAATAGAAATTTAATATATTATTCAATATCATTTAATATAAATGAAATAGAAATTATTTCATACTTTTTAGTGCAATTTTAATATTTTTTCGAAGTTGGTTATATTTTTTTTCCAAAAATTATTTTATTGTACATATGTTTCGTGTATATGCATATCGAAGAGTAATAGTGATTCGCCGCACTCAAAAGGCTGAACTCAAGATTCGTCTTCCTTTCAGCTTACTCTTATTTTTCATAACCTCTTCCTTTTCTTTCCAACTTTTCATTCCTACTAAAATTACTTTCCTTCCTCTGTCTTCTAAGGCCTTTGCCCATTTTATACGGCTGTTAACCTTTAACTCCCTCTGCAGCAAGTTTTCTACCCTCTTCTTTATATAGTTTACTCCATCCCGCATACCTCTTATTATCAGATTATTTCTCCGCGCCTTTTCGTGTTGCTTATCCATAATTTTTCTTATCCTCTTTATTTCGCTCCCAAATTCTTCCCCAACTCTAACTACTACCTCCTCTTTTACTTTTTCCTCTATCTCCCTTACTTTCTGTTCTACATTTGTATCTCTCCCATTTCCCTCCGACATTCCTAACTGCTTTATTCTGCATTCCATCTCTTTCATTCTATTTTCCAACTGCCTTACTTCCTTATCCCGTTGATTTTCTCTGTTCTTTATTTCTCTCCCTAATCTCCTGCATTTCTTCCGCCCTTTTTTTCTTATTCCTTTGCATGCCTGCTTTTATATCTCTTACTTCTGCCACTTGCTGAGCTGTCACCTTTTGGATTCCCTCACTACATGCTTTTGTATTTGTTCCAATTCGGTTTTCCGCCCTCCCCCTTTCCTCTCTTTCCCCACTTCCTAATTTCATCTCTGTTCTAATTATATTCCTAAATTTACCCAACGTTCCTGTTCCCGCTCTTAGTGCCTTCTCCGCCTTTGTCGGCCGCCCTCTCTTTGTCCTTCTCAACTCCGTCCTTCCTTTTCCCAGCGTTCCTACCTTACCGATCTCTTATTACAATTTCGAAATTTCTAGTTCGGAATTCTGCCCACCGTTACCTATTTTCGCCTTGCGTTCAAACCTTCAAACTTTCTGTCCTTTAAACGACTGCCTTATACCCTTTTTGTCCGTTATCCTATTCCCCTCCTTTATTTCCCCTTACTCTTAACACTTATCTACTGTGTATAACCACACACATCACTTATCGTATTCCTTTATTTTTAATACAAATCACGTTTTCACATTCTTCTCACTCGCATACTACGATCACGCTTTCACGCCACCTAACCAAGTCCCCAATATAGAACATATACAGGGTGTTAACAAATATGTAGGACATTTTTTCAGGATCAAGTCTTCATACCAGTACAATCGAAAAGTCTGTTACCATTTTGCGATCTGAGGCTTCATTGTTGAGATATAAGCGATTGAAATTTACAGGCGGACTTCCTGCGCGGGTTGTTTAAATCCCTGTCAGCTGAATGTGTGGTCGCACATGGACGCATTCACATCACGTCACATCGGAGGAATGAAACAAGTGAGTGTGCATCGGTGTGTCTTTTTCGCGTGTGAGTGCAATAGAATTTTCGATTTGTACTGGTATAAAGACTTGATCCTGAAAAATTGTCCCACATATTTGTTAACACCCTGTAGATATAAGTATTCTAAAGACCATCAAGTTGAGACTTAGATTATTTACCTATATAGATTCATTGTAAAGATTGATTCATGGAGATTAAGCCGAGGACTTGGAAGATTTGTATTTTAATGTAACAAAATGACAAGTAATAAAGTGACTTAAACTAGAATTACGAATAATTATGTATAAAGCCACAGAATTTTACACTTAATGTATGTATGATGTATAAAGTATGATTATATTCGGTAATTATTTAGAAGTTTGCCCTCCTCTCACCGGTTTGAGTGAACTTGAAATATGTTGTCAAGGTCATAATTCTGAACAACTTTTCCTTACATGTTACCGCCACTCGGCCGTAGTTTATGAGATATTCGTAAAAAACTTTAGTTCTACTTATGTTACTACTACACTGTATTCTGGGAAAGATGGTCACTGAATGACGGGGAGTGGGTTTGTAAAAAAATGGGGGTCTGGGGGCTTGCTCCCGGTCGGGAGTTTGGAAGTAAAGCCCTCAACTATACGTATTGCCGCACACTTCGCAAGTGCGTACATGGTTACATGTATATTGCTTTCAGGGGGATTGAGGGGGCGCAGGCCCCGCTGAGGAGGCGGTTTGGGGGCGCATATAATTTTGAGACGTATGCTTTTTAACTTTAGGAAAATGTTTTGCACCTGAAAGCATACATCCCTCAGGGTAACCACGCAGACACATAGTTGGGGGCCTCGCCCCAAAACCCTCGACCGGGGCACGCTCCGGGAACACCATTTCTTTACTGTACGGATAAAGATCGTGCATGTTACAAACCTTCGGAACGACTTTATTGTCTTTACTGTGTGAACGTCAAGGTTACATTTATTATACGTATACGCAGATTCTAGCTTAACGATAAGTTTTTATTAGTAAGTTTTTAATAAAAAACGAACGACATCTAAAACCTCTTAGATGTAACTCTACAGGATGACCTTGACAGCATATGCCAAGGTGAAGGTCGGTGCTGTCTGTGTCAATATGATGTGTACTCGTAATCTACATATGTTTAACTAAAGTTTTTGATGAGTATCTCGGAAACTACGGTCAAGCGGCGGTATCATGTACAGAGAAAGTTGTTCAGAATTATGACCTTAACAACATATTTCAAGGTCATACAAATCGGTGAGAGGAGGGCAAACTTCTAAATAATTACCTTATATTCATGATACTAATTTCTGTATACAAACAAAAGTCATACTAAGCAAGCACTGTATTTTTTTCTTTTTAGGATGGTAAAAGTGAACTTCAATTTTGCAGTGAGAAATGTTTGAATCAGTATAAAATGAATATTTTTTGCCACGAAACACAAACTTATTTAATGCTTCACGGTTTAAACAATGTGTCTTGCCACGAAGCGGAAAAGGCTAACTTAATAACACCAGAACTTTGGTTTCGAAGTTGTCAGTCGCCACTGAATAGCCCAACAGAAGACACATATATAGGAAACGAACACGTAACCCCAACTTTGTTACCACCCCCTCATGACCGAGAGGAGGAAACAGAACAAACCGAGATTGAGAGACCAGTAGAATCAAATCGAAAAGCGACGAGAAAACGGAACTCATTTTGCATTCGAATATGTACCAAAGCCAACGAAAAGAACACGAATTTTCGCACAGAAATAAATAAAAACGATGACAATGATATAAAAGAACCGATACTGACAATAGGAGAAAACGAGTTCTGTCAATTCATAAATAATCAAAATCATTGCGAGGTGAGATGTACAGAAGAAACTGCCCCGAGCAGGAAGAATTTTAAAAAGTATCACAGATTGACAGATGTTATAGATGGCGACCCATACGATTGTCAGCAGCGTGATAATACATTTCTTGGAAAAAACATATACGTAAAAAATATCAAGGATTTGCAAGAAGTGAGAGAGCGTGATCCACAAGAAAATGTGTTAAAATCATCGACTTTGTTTTCTAATTCCACTGCGTCTGCAATTCAATGCGAGAATCCATTTGTAGTTAAATCCTTCGGGTATGAATCTAATCGAACAAAGTATAAAAAACAAACTAGGGCGTCTTTGCAAGGATTTTCTTCTGTACGCTCTAATCAAGCCGAATCCTCCGTTCCATTGTCGACAACTCTTTTACCTCCTGTCACAATCCTTGTACCGTATCCCATACCTGTGCCTATACCAATTCCTATTCCTATTCCTATAACAAGTCCAATTCCTAGTAAGGTAATGTCCAGCGAACAGGAAGTTTCTCTAACACCCAAAGACACGAAATGTGAAAATTTGAAATACAACGATTCAATAAAAAGCAAATGTTCCGTGACACATGAATCACAATTGTGTATAAATGCAAGCGTATCGACGATGGAGAGCTCGCAACATTCAACTTCAGCGAAACTTTCTTTAACATTGTCACCTCCTAGCAATAAGATCGTGAACAACGATAACGCGTATTCGTTAAAACATAATACAAAATTCTCAAGAAAACGGAACCGTTCAAATGAAACCATTAATCGCGAGCACGAAGATCTTCAGTTGAAGAAAAGGAATAAATTCATAACAGCTTGAGGAAAAGACAACTTTTAAATAAATATTTTTTGATATGATATATATAAATTAAGCGAACATTCTTTTCCATATACGATAAATAATTTAAACATATAAGCTATATTTTTTATAGCAATTGAATATTTAATGAAACGCGATAATTTTATTGTTTCAATGAAATAAAATTATATTTTGCAATTACAACATAACTTATTAATAATTCCTATCAAATTATACTTATCGGTGCAGGGAGCAATTTCAACAGTTGGTGTTTGCCACCCTTAAAAGACGTGAAGTCAAGGAGAGAAGTCAAGGAAGTCTTGCAGAAGATATTTGCAACGCCGTTTACACTACAGGCAACTTTCCGCAACATAAGTGTCGCGCGAGAGACTGTCGGAGAATACTGTCGCAACTTCTTGCAGGCCTGTATACACAGGGTAGTTTGACCTGTCGGAAGATTTCTCGCGTCAGTTTAGTTTTAAACGCCATGCCGAGTCGACGTGAACGTGTAGCACCAGCAATAATGTTATTACTTAGTAAAAAAAAGAAAAAAAGATCTATTTGGGTCCGACAATGGATCTCGATACGGCCCGAATACGGTTATTTCCACAATTTTTATTTATTATTTATTTTATTTTATTTTTTCATTATTTATTTATTATTTTCAGATGTACTAGTCCGCTAACTTCGACCGGTAACACGTTCGACTAATAAAATACTTTGCGAGCACCCTTTGGATGGATCCAAGGCCTGTTGGTGCTCGCGACCGGAATAAGAAGACAGTGAGAAGAAGGCGATCGGTTTGATCACCTGTCAAGCTGTCATATTCGAACAAGACGCCATTAAATGCTGACGTTCCGAAACTAAGAACACATTTAATTACCTTTGTTGAGATTTGTATTGTACACACCCTGTTATATATTAAAGTTACTCGTTAATCCTTAAAGTTCTCGTTATGCCAAACATAAAACGTAACATTGGTGTCAGAAGTGGTATGCCCACTCGTAGTGATCACATTTTCGCGATTTTCGCGGAACCTTCTCCTCAATCGACGCCCGAGCCTTCCCTACGGGAGATGTTCAGCGATCTCCAGCGGATCATCGTTGGACAGATGCAGGAGCAACGAAGGGAGGATGAAGCTCAGAGGAGGGAGAAAGACGCAGAGGACCGGCGGATACAGGCGGCCTTCGAGACACAACTGACCAGCATCGAGGAACGTTTTCAGGTCGTATCTGTTCCAATAGAAAACAGCCATTGTTCGGCTAGTGGCGACGCGAACCCTCGGGCTGGAGAAACAGTACCGGTTACAGAGAGTGTTAATTGTGTAAATAGTGTTCACCCGGCAGTGACCCCTGTCGTCGGGGCGCCCGCCGCCTCCCCGTTGTTAGATCGACCCCGCGTGTTTAACTTGGGGTACGGAGTAAAACCGACCATCTTTGACGGGAAAGCTTCGTGGGAAGAGTATAAAATTCAATTTGAGACTATCGCACGCGCTAACTGGTGGAGTGACAGGGAAAAGGTTACTGCCTTGATCACGTCTCTAGGAGGGTCGGCGAGGAGCGTCCTCACGACTCTCCCCAGTGTGAAAATTTCGCAGATCTTGTTTCGGCGCTTGAATTTCGCAACGGAGCAAAAAATCTCTCAAATTTGAATTATGTCCTTTTCCAAAGCCATAAACAGCGGAGAGATGAGAGCATCTCCTCGCTCGCCGCGAAGATAGAACGTTTAGCTCAATCCGCGTTCGCCGATTGCCCGGCGGAGACCCGCGATAAACTCGCCGCCTCTCAATTTGTATCAGCGTTGTCGAGCTCTGATATGCAGCGGGAACTGCGACTCGGCAGGTTTACATCTCTAAGAGCCGCCGTCACCTGAGCTCTCGAAATCGAGGCCGTCGAGGCAATGTCGCGTAGTTCCACGGTTGAGTCACGAGAAAGATTCCCAGAGAAACGGAAGGCTAAACCCTTTAATTATTTTACAAGTTTCCCGAAAAAGAGGAGTAAGCCCAACAGACCTGAAGAACGCATCAACGACGCGCCGAGGATCACCTGCTGGCTTTGTGGCAAGACCGGACACCTGCAAAAGGATTGCTACAAGGCCAAGAACGGTCAGGCATGAACAACAGCTTCGAGGAAACCTTTTCAGGGAAACGGGAAGAGGACGGCGTAAAGGGGAGACGCCGGACCAGGAGTAGCAGTCCCCGGGTCGTCAAGAGTACGAGATCCAAGAGGCGATTGGAGGTGCGGAAATTCCAAAGGAGGAGATGTACGTATGTAGAAAAATTAGCGGAAAGCCCTGTAGAATTATTTTTGTCACGGGTTCTCCCGTTAATCTTTTGGAGCAAGAATTATGTCCATCGAAGAACGTCATACGGACAAGACTTGACATTCGTTCAACTACTGGCAAGAAAATTAAGGTCTACGGGAAGGAGAGTTTGGAAGTTGACATTGGTGGATTTTCGACCGTAGAAGACTTTTACATCGTCGACATGGTGGAGAAGTGCATCCTGGGAACAGCCTTTTTGAGGAAACATCGTTGCATCATTGATCTGTCCCAGAATCTTCCCGGCAAGTCGAAGATTCGCCTGAGCGAACCGGCCGTCGAGAAGAAAAAACCGGAGAAGGAGAAGGAAGCGATCATTCCACAGCATTTGGAGGAGCTGTACACCCGTTGCTCTTCAGGTTTGTCAGAAGGACAACAGAAACTATTTGCTGAGCTACTTCGTGAATTTCAGAATGTTTTTGCGGTGAATTTGAATCAGCTCGGAAACTGCGACAGGGTGAAGCACACCATCAACACAGGAGACTGCTCACCCATAAAACAAGCCCCGCGGAGATTGCCTATACATCGTCGAACGAAAGTGGACAAGTTGGTCAAGAAAATGATCGCCCAAGGCGTACTCGAGGAATCACGGAGCCCGTGGTCTTCTCCCATCATCCTTGTGTAGAAGAAGGATGGAAGTTTGCGATTCTGCGTAGATTTTCGACGACTGAACGAGATCACGAAAAAGGACTCGTACCCCCTTCCCCGCATCGAGGATACCCTGGATGCACTCGCTGGATCATTGTGGTTTTCTACCGTAAACTTGCAGAGCGGATACTGGCAGATCTCTATGGACGAGAAGGATCGGGAAAAAACTGCTTTTTCGGTAGGAACAGGACTGTGGCAGTTCAATGTGATGCCCTTTGGATTATGTAACGCCCCTGCAAGTTTCGAACGTCTGATGGAGGAACTACTTCAAAATGTAACTTGGAAGATTTGTCTAGTATATTTAGACGACATCATTATCTACGGAACTGATATCGAGCAAGAGCTCGAACGCCTTCGAACAGTGTTCTCACGTCTACGTCAGGCCGGACTATTAATGAGCCCCAAAAAATGCTCTTTCTTCTGTCGGAAAGTGAAGTATCTGGGACACATCGTCAGCGAGAGTAGAGTCAAGACGGATCCAGAAAAGATCAAGGCAATTTCGAAATGGCCAAAGCCGAAGAATGTTACGGAATTGAGAAGTTTCTTAGGATTGTGCACTTATTACAGGAAATTTGTAAAGGATTTCTCCAGGATCGCCAAGCCTCTACATCGCCTCACCGAGGCCAAACAGAATTTTCTCTGGACCGAAGATTTCCAAGAAGTTTTCCAGGAATTGAAGAGGAGACTGTCTGGGACCCCGGTCTTAGCCAGTCCTCGACCCAGCAGTCGAGAAGGATTTTATTCTGGACACGAACGTTTCTAATTTCGCTATAGGAGGCGTCCTTTCCCAGAAACATGAAGGACAGGAAAAGGTCGTGGCTTATTTTTCCATAACCTTAGGGAAGGCGGAGAGGAACTACTGTGTCACCCGAAGAGAATTACTGGCAGTGGTAAAATCTATTGAATATTTCTGTCCGATCCAGTGTCCAGAAAGGCGCGGACTTCCAGAAGTTCCGCAGAATGCGCCTCCACTTTCACCTTGGCCGTCGCGAGGAGAGCTGTGGGTCGCACTGAAACAGAGCACGCGAAGGACGATGCCACATTTTGAAGGTCGGCGTCCGGAGTTGACGAAGTCGATGGTTCCTCCTTCCGCTGCGTCGCGTTCGTTGACAGAACTGCCATCGCCTCGTGGAGCAGCGTGTGATGTCGTTTGCTACACAGTAAGTAAACTCGAACGGACGGGCACTTCGCGACATCATGACCCACGGTTAGACAATTGGAACACGCTTTCAACTGTTGAGCTCGTTCCTTCCTTTTCTGTGGAGACAACGATTTAAATTTCGGACAATATGAAAAGTTATGATTCCCGTAGCACGTAGGACACTTCCGAGACGCAGCGTTCCTTCCCTTCAAGGACGCTTCATTTTTTATTTTAGGCGGTGCATTCCTTGACGGTGCAGGGTGCAACAGCAGATCGCTCGCGAGGGCGGGATCCAGCGCCTGGATGCGGTTTTCCAGGAAGGAAGACAGTTGTTCGAAGGACGGCACGTCGCGCGTATTCGTGAGAGAGGTCTCCCAAGCAAGGTGGGTGGTTTTATCTAACTTCTGGCTTAGAAAATAGACGAACCATTCGTCCCACGCCTCAAGGGGTTTTTTCAGCGCGGAATACGACATAATCGCCTGTCTGAATGCGTTTAAACGTCTTTTAAGTTCCGCGGCGGACTGTTGTTGCGCGGGGGACGCGAGAGAAGGGCGCGATGATGCGAGAAAGACAAGAGGCGCAAATTTCCATATCGCTTTTCGAGATCCTTCCACGCTCTTTGGTATCCGACCTGGGTGAGAGAGGTATTCCTGATGACCTCCGCTGCTTCGCCGGTCAAAGCCGACTCGAGGTACATCAACTCGAGCACGTCCCGAAGCTTCGGAAGGTCGTCCACGAGGCTTTTAAATAAATCTCGAAAACTCCCCATTTTAGAGCATCATCTCCAGAGAACGTGGGCAATTAGATTTTTGGCAATTGCATCCTTTCATCTGGGTTGGAAAGTACCTGCTCTTTACCTGACTGGCCTGCGGTGGTCGAGTCCGAAAGACACTGCGCGATCTTCGAAGCTACGTCAAGGTATGCTTCCTCGATGATAATAAAATGGTCTTGCCTAACATAATCGCTAGCCACGACTTCTTTGCACATCAAAAGTTGACGACGACCATTTAAAAACGCGCCCCAGTACCGTTCCAACAAGCCTCTACGATGTTCTAAGACCACCGGGGTTATTTTATCCTTTCCTAATTTACTAAGGTTGGTCCAAAAACGTTGAATCCAACGTTCGAGTTTAAGGTGCTCCCGTAAAATATCAGCAAAGGATACGAGACTCATCGCAGACCGTTTCCAGAAAACGTTACGAGAAGCGACGGTTCACGGTTCAAACGGTTCCGATGTTCGTTTGCAAACACTAGCGCGACCGCGACGGACCACACCCGTGGTTTGTAATCGTTAGCGAGAATTTGAACAAAGTACTTATCTTTTATTCGATGAATTCTCGTAGCACTGAGTCCCTTTTACTTAATGCAGTCCTTCATCTTTTAGCCAGTCAGTCTGCCGATGATGGATCACTTCACTGTTCACCCACGTCACAAGAGAAGAAAAAACTGTTCGAGTACACGATCCGGCTCGAAGGACCAGAATGTTCGTTCGATATCGTCCCGCAGCCTTTCCTGGGATTAGCTTACGAACGGGAGAAGAAAAATAACCTGCCCGAATCGTGGTTTTACCGAAGCAAGTTTTATTGCTTCCGTGGTGAAACTGTACTATAATTATTATACAATAATATTATAACTTAGTTTAAAAACTTATGCCCGTTTTAATTTATTCCCGCAGATATAACGCCCGTAGCACCGATTCAGAAAATAAGATTTCCGAGAAAACTCGTTACGATTGACTCACTGACTCGATGAGATCGATCGCCAAAAATCACGTTAACCCTTTGCTTACGGCAGTACGCGTCGGGAGATTGACGCCACTGAACGGGTGCATCGTGCCGCGAAATGTGCCGCACCCATACACACAGGTCATCCCGCGGGCCCCGCGGGCGCCTATAGTTGGACCCGTACACACAGGACGTCGCAAGGCCGCCGACTATAGTCGGCATCCGTAACGAAAGGGTTAACGAATGATTTGAATTCGGTTCATGCTTTGTATATATTATCGTTCTCAGTATCGCCTGCCGCCTCTCCGATCCCTCTCGCCTTGCTTCGTACGGCCAGCGGAGTGAGCGAGAGCAAGAGAGCACCAGGAGAGCACAGAGAACATAGTGTACGCGTCTAAATTCAATTGTAATATATAGTTTAGTTCGAAACCGAGGTTCGCGTTTGAACACACCACGAAACACATATTTTCCGTATATCAGTTTTCTTCCCTAGTTTTTTTCTAAGCAGTTCCTTCAGCGGTTTAATCAGCGTAGCTAAGTTTGGAATCCATTTATTAACATAATTGACTAATTCTAGAAAAATTTGTAATTCTTCTATTGTGGTTGGAGCCCTAAATACCGTTATACTTTCAAGATATTTGTCTAAAGGCCCAGCTCCCTCAGATGTTAGTTTATGTCCCAAGAATATAATTTCTTTAACTTTATAAACGCATTTGTTCTTGTTTAATAATACATTGTTATCTTTCAAGGTTCCCAGTACCTTTTGTAATCGTGAGTTGTGTTGTTCTTCGTCCTTTCCGAAAATCAGAATAAAATTTACTGTTACTTCGCAATGTATTATCATCTTCTCGAGTGTTTTTTGGAAAGCCCCGTGTTCGAGCAGCCTTTAAAGCGACTCTTTGGGCGTCGATTACGGCTGCTCGAACGCTTGACATATCGCGTTAAATATTTCTTTAAACATATCGGGCGCTCGCACTTTAAACACAGGACTAGTTTTGAAGTGTCCTCTGGGTGTGCGCAAAATTACATTGACGAGGGTTGATGTGAAGGAGTTAATTTACCCTCGTAAAGGAGTGTGGTGCAGGAAAACGGCACTTCTGAAGGGGCCAGGGGTGACGGAAAGGATTGCAAAAATTAAAAAAAACCTTTAAGGCGACTCTTCGTGATGCCCTCTGCAGAATGCACCCTCTGAAATTCTTCTCGGACAAACCCACCCCTCACAACCCCCCTAAAATCCACAATTTTTGGACGACAGTCCTGATTTTAGGCTCAATGAATTCCCTGGAATCCCCTGATCCAGGAAATGCCAACACCCACACCATACACCCCATAGGCACCCCTTGGGGGGGGGGGGCGGAATAGCTCGCCAATTTTCAACCCCCTCCGTGAAAAGGCATTTCCACACATTAGAGGGTGATGAAATTCACCAGATTTGTTGTCCGTATACTAAAGATCAATGCCGAAAAGATCCCGTTTCGAAAGCTGCCCTTAGAGCTGAACGGGGGTGGCCCAAAGTTAAGGGTGGTCCACCCCTTGTCGTAGAGGGCTCATGTTTTTTCCCCACATGGACAGTATTAACAAACGAAAATTTTGTTTTTTTGGAAAACCTATCCCCAAGTTTAGAGCCGTCTGCAGGGTGAACGAGTAACCCCACGTCAACGCCGTTCGCGGATTCGGATACACAAATGCTTCATTAGAAGGTCCCAAAAAATCAGATTTTTTTAATCACGCTTTTGTTGCCAAATCGGGGCAGATTTAAAAGAGCAGCAAGTGGGCCGGACGAAATCAACGTTCAAGAGCGAAGCGGTACGTTACCAAGGAGCTGTAGCCATACGTTGTCACACCAGACCAGACTTCAATAGAACGTGGGCTGACCACGTACGGATGCAGGCCCTAGCTCCGCTTTTGAATGCCTGCTACGCTTGGCCCACTTACTACTCTTTCAAATCTGCTCCGATTTGACAACGAAAGCATGATTAAAAAAATCTGATTTTCTGGCGATCTGGAAATAAAGCATTCCCGCGTCCGTATCCACGAACGGCGTTGACGTGGGGTTACTCGTTCACCCTGTATATGTATATGCCCAGTCCGTACAGCCGGCACCGGGCGGGACGGGATCGGTAGCCTCTAAGCCGCATCGCTCGGTGTTGCCGTCGTTAGCCCAACGCTATTGCCCTTCAGATACGCAAATTAGTCATAACCCTGAGTTACCCTGGTGGCGCTCTCGATCTTGGTCGGTGTCGTTCCCCGCGGAGAGTTCACCTCTTTGTGACGTGGGAATCTGCCACGTCACAATACTTAAACGTAAAATTCTACCCCGATAATCGATCTCGCTATACTCGTATTTTTTATCACAGGCCGATTATAAAACCGTGTAAACGTATTCGATTTTTTCGGTCCAATCTGCAGCCCTTCGAATCGCCTCAATAGCACTCCTCTACGAGACGCCGAGGATGTTGAGGCATGCCTTGTGCTATGTGAACCAAAGTTCTTTGTATCAACCCCACTTTTGGACATAACACTTTTAAGGCACCTACTGACTGATTATGGCGTCGCCACCCCATGTGGCTTCCTACATGTTAATAGTAGCATATCTTCGCCTTGCTTTCTTATCTTTGCTGATTGTTTTATGTACTGGCATAAAATGGTTGCTATACATAATCGTGGTTGTTCTTTGAAAAACGACAATTGCAACAAAGATTGTGTTCTTTTCGGACCCGATGTTTTTATCCTATCAGATATCTTACTTCTAATTTCGGTATCATATATTTTTATATTGCTAATCCTAATTTTGGTGAGTGTTTGTACTCTTTGCGCTGTAGCTAACGCTAATAGCATAATTAATTTCTTACTGAGTAATTCAAAGGGTAACGTTTCGTGGGGCCAAAGGGTCCTCAAATAATGTAGTACTGGATCAGGGCCCCAGATTTCCTCATATTTCGGGGTTTGAGGTCTTAAGTGAGCCACGGCTCAAAAAAATCTTTTAATTAACGGATGTTGCCCTATTTCTTTCCTCACAATTACCGCCAGGGCTGATCTGTATGAATTTAATGTGCTGTATTTTCTTGTTTGGCCCAAACAATGAGTTAAGAATTTCAGGACTTTTGGAATCGGTGCTTGAAAAGCACATGTCTGGTTCTTCTGACAAAACTCCCATCATAAATTTAATGGTTTTCGATATTGTTTGATTGTCTCGTCTGATAAGGATGTTACGTATGCACACCCGTTCTTTTGGAAGCTCGCGTTCATTTATTTTATCTACCCCTTGGAATGTGGAGTCTGGTCTTACCGAAGTGCATCCTGCAGCTGTACCATACTTTTCTCAGAATCATCTTTTAACTCGCGTTGCGTGGGTAACCCTTCTCTAAACTTTCCCTAAAGGCACACAGATGTTCACCTCTGAGTAACGAAAATCTCAACCGCCAAATTTCCTTATATGGGAATCACTGACGTATCCCCACCAATATCTAGGGGTATATAAACCCATGATTTTCGTTATTCGGGGGATTAGAACGAAAGAGTTACGCGTAGAGTCACGTAGAGTAGCATCACGTTGATCATCTGCAAAGAGTGCTTCAGTGAGATCGGGCTTCAGTTCCCTTTTGTATCATAATCAACCATATAGATCCGCGTGGCCGGTTTCAATTTTATTTTGGCAATAGAAACATTCTCGACCCCCGCATCGCCAGTGCGTTAACACCGTGCAACAATTAGGTAATTAAATTCATACACTAACCGCGACAACACGACACTGTATAATTGTATTATTAGAATTATTCAGTTTTGAATATATAATCATTTGTTAATCTTAAAAGGTCTGTTAAGTCATTATTAAACCTTCATCATTGGAATAAGCAATCCTAACCAGTGTAACGATCCCACAACATAATAACTTTACCGCTCGAGTTATTATTTGTTTAGAATTAATAGTTGCGAGGCTTTATCCACGACGCGTATTATATTCCGATACAATTCAATCCTTATATAACGTTCCCAACGGTTACCTTTTATAGGGAGATACCGATCCTACGGTTACTCTTATTTGGGAGATACTAATTCCCAGCAGCTGTCTGACTTCGCGTCAGAGTCGTCTGCGATTTCTACTCCATCCTCAATCTTTGGATCCATTGAAATAAACAGGACTAATTGTATCTTCTTCGATTCTTGAATTCAACCCATTCGCAGGGCTCACACGCGCGTCGCTATCGCCCTGGCTCGTAACAAGGACTTCATCACCACTGGAATGGAGTCTGGGGGAACTCCTTTTAACCTAAAAGCTTGCCTGATAATCTCCCGGCAACCAGGGAAAGCGACGCTTGTAACAGGCGGTATTGCCTGCAATTATCAATTAATAAATCATCCTCAGGATTGACTAAAATTGACTCTGATACGAGTAAAGCTTTAAGAAGTGGAAACCACGCCTGAGTAGGTCAAAACGGCACTATTAAAACCTCCTCTTCTTTATCCGAAATTATTTCCCGAATTATTCTTAAAACCATGGCGAATGGCGGAAAAGCATAAAAATACATGTCAGTCCAAGGCACCGTAAACGCATCTACAACCCAAGCTTCTAGGTCCCTGTGCCAGGAGATGAACTTTTCGCACTTCGCATGTACGTTCGACGCGAACAAATCTATGTCAAATTTACCAAATGTAAATTCTACCTTTTTATGAGCCCAATCTGCTAATTCGCACTCAGTTTCGGTTTGCTCCACTCTCGACTCTGCATCAGCTTTTGTATTGTTGCTCGACTTAATGTAAGACGCAAAAATTGACACATTACGTGCTTTGCACCATTGCCAGATTTCTTTTGCTAACTTTGACAATTTAGATAATTGAATGCCACCCATTCGATTTACATACGCCAACGCTGTTGTATTGTTAATGCGTAGGAGTATGTCACACGAAATCTTACTTTTAGCGAAACATTTCAGCCCGTAAAAGGCCGCCTTTAAGCCGGCGCAACACTTGCGGTTGGTCCGTGGGGTTCGACCGCCCGCTGTTGAAGAGGCGGCCGAACTGCTTGAATTTCATGCGTTCACGTATAAGCGGTTTGCCGGCGTGAATCTATATCCGATAAAAAACTTCAAAAAAGTAAAAAAATTACGCCAAGTACATGAAAAGGTGGAAGACTCAAGGAGTTATCATTGAAAAATAGAAGATTCCAGCAGGTAAGGTATGCCAGTTCTGGAACAGTGGGATCTCAGGAGGGCGCGGGGACGGGGGAAGCGAGGAGTGGGGCCTTGTGGGTGGGGGAAGCGAGGGAAGGGGGCTCGTGTGACGTCACTTTTGATTGACCACCCCCTTCAAGGCGCCATTTTGTTTTTTAATTGGCTGCCTCCCACCTCTTCGTGTTTTTTAATTGGCTGCCTCCCACCTTGACGGGTAAAAGCAGCGTGCTCTCGGTGACGTACTTTCCACCGATAGATTTGAGCGATGGACAGTATGAACTCTCATGGATTTCGCGACGTTTCACACGATACCCAACGTTGATTCGAGCAACAATAAATTTTATTTTGGAGAAGATGATGAAGAAATTGTGATTCCTGAAGGATCGTACGAATTGGAGGCGATCGATGAGTACTTGAGACGTGAAATATTGAGAAGATATCCCTCTAAGAATAATTCGTACGATGAATACCCTCTCATCGTGCGAGCAAACAATAACACTATGAAGAGCGAGATACATTGCTCGCATAGAATCGATTTTACGAAACCAAACAATGTGGGATCTCTGCTTGGATTTTCCCCGAACCGTGTTTTATCGTCCGATCTATGGCACGATTCGGACTCACCCGTAAACATTACAAACGTTAACATGATTCGTATAGAGTGTAACGTAACTACGGGTTCTTACAGTAATGACAGACCTGTTCACACGATACACGAGTTTTCACCCAGAGTGCCTCCAGGATATAAGATTTCGGAAACGCCACCACGTGTCATTTATCTTCCAATCGTCACGCGATCAATAGATGATTTGACGATTCGTATCGTAGATCAAAATGATCGCCTGATAGATTTTCGTGAAGAGGAAATTACCAACAGATTGCACATACGACGACGAGACCAACGCTCTGCGTACGATTAAAAAGAGAGGGAGTAATATTATGCTAGTGTACGGTAACGCGGTCAGTAAACTTAAAACCAGGACAAGCGTAACCGCAGTTCTTGATAACACTCTGAAGCCACGTTCTGTTCTACCAAAAGAAAAAGAGCAAAAAGATACAAAGAAGAAAACTACAACACAATTGGAGAAACGGCGATATGTGATATTCGCTATGCAAACCGATCGAAAGAACAAATTGGACAAAACATTTAATCACTTTGACAATTGTAAACTATCAAACATACGACTACATTTAAATTCAAAATCTTATCCATACGATGACTTGAATCTGGATTTTGATAAGAACAAGTATGCGACACTTTACGATATGTACGCAAACTTTCGAAAATCATATTACGGACACGGTGAACCCCTGCTCGATATGTTAGAGTTTTTATTATGTGGTCCGTTTGGGGTCATAGATTGCTCGCGTCAGAATGAATCTCTAAAGTGTGCCACGACTGATGTTAGGATAGATTTCGAATACAATGATAACGTGCCGCTCAATACAACTGCTTACTGCTTGATTATACACGATCGCATAGTCGAGTACAGCCCTCTGACGAATGTAGTATGCAGAATAAACTAATACAGTAAAAATCTCTGCTGAATGTTCAGTCTCTTCGAAACTGTCGATACAGCAAAATGGCTCACCTAACGTTCGTAGACTTGCAAGGTTTCAAAACGGACTCGAATGATTTTATCGTAAAAGAGGTGGCTGTCCTCACGCAAGGAAAAAAGTTAGTGCATTGTCCATGCATAGTAGTAAAATGCAAACTGTTTTTGAAATATGAAATATACATGACGTCATGGTACAGAAAAAAGAAATGCTGCATCATCAATAAATTCCTTACACGATAAGGGGTGATGGAGGGGAGTGGATTCGATATAAAACGGAAATTTGCGATACAGCGGTTAGAAGATTGTTAGATTTTGACCAATTTAAACGTCAGCGATGTGGACTGCTGCTGAAGTTGCTCGAGGAACGGGGGAGAAATTTTTAGATGATAATTACACATTGCGGCCAGTTTCCAAGAAAATGCGTACATGGCAAGATGTTCGTTTCGTCGATGTAAAACGTACCAAAAATATGCATCATTCTTTTCATATTCTTTTCATTTACACAGTGAAACCAATGATTTAGCCGAATTGAAGTCGAGCCGCGGAGTACGTATTTTGGGACGGAGATATCCTTTGACGACTACCTGGTACAAGTATTTAGATATTGGAATAAGAATTGGTCGTCGCTGTGATGTGGAATTGGCTATTGGAGATAACCGCGGCAATGAAATTCAGTTTCCAATGTTTACCTGGAAAAAGCTATCGGAGAGAAAGATGGACATTTTACGGAACTTTGAAATGACATCTAGTGATCCGATACGTGTTTGCGATATAACGATTGAGTTTCGCTGCGTGGACGATGTTAAAGTCGCGAAACTCTCCACTTCCGTCAACGCCTTGTTCCTCACAGAAAAAACGATTTGTAGAATGTTTGATTTCGAATACTGTATCAATCATATGTACACGTGGCTTTCCGAGAATACGTTTCTCGTCGAGCGCAGATATGAAACTTTTGTAAAAGTAATACATAATGTAAAACCAAATGATATTGTAAGAACAATTACCGAAGATGAAAATTTTGAACGTCATTCATTGATTGATTCTGAATTGTTAGCCTTAGGGTTGAATGTAATTCAGCATTGTGATCAAATAAAATGATGTATTTACAATTGAATAATATTTCTTTCTTCATAAGCGCGAATCACTGGCGGCAGGTGCGGGTAACACAGAACGTTTAGCTTGCAGTTTTTGACTTTGTCCCTGAAACAACATATCGGTGTCTCGAATATTCCACCGCGAAAAAGAGCATTCCTTCATGTATGCCCTTAAAATAGAGTATCCTGTAGCCATGGTTCGATCGCGAGTCGGTATGGATTTTTGATGATCTAATCTTCCGCGAATAATACATTTGCAAAGAATGCATTTCATCGCGTATGACATTAAGATGGTAAAACAGAACGTTTAGCTTGCAGTTTTTAAAATTGTCCTCGACTCGCGAAACTTCGCGAATCTTTGCACGTGTCTTTGAAATAGATCCATTAGCGCACTTTAAAGGGGTGTGGGCAGCCGATTAAATGGCGCCCCGAAAAGGTGTTCAATCAAAAATGGGGGGAGGTAGGGCCTTATTAACTAATTAAAAAACACGAAGAGGTGGGAGGCAGCCAATTAAAAAACAAAATGGCGCCTTGAAGGGGGTGGTCAATCAAAAGTGACGTCACACGAGCCCCCTCCCCTCGCTTCCCCCACCCACAAGGCCCCACTCCTCGCTTCCCCCGTCCCCGCGCCCTCCTGAGATCCCTCTGTTCCAGAACTGGCATACCTTACCTACTGATTCCCATAAAACTATAAGAAAGTAGAAAAAGATGTGAAATCGAAATGAGCTGCCAGATGATTTGCCTAGATTTCCGCGGCCTGGAAGTCAAATGCTTGGCGTGGCCAGGCAAGGTATTCTTAGATCATCAATACCCATACTTTCTCTCTCACAGACTTTTAGGTAATTTGTCAATTTAAAATTCTGGCAATATTATGAGTACACTTTCATTGTATTGGGTTTTAAAGTAATTCTTATTCATCGAGACCTTGACCTTGCCTGGCCACGCCAAGTATTTGACTTCCAGACCGCGGAAATCTAGGTAAATCATCTGGCAGCTCATTTGGATTTCACATCTTTTTCTTTTTTCTTGTAGTTTTGTATGGGAATCTTTTATTTTTTAATGATAACTCCTTGAGTCCTCCACTTTTTCATGTACTTGGCGTAATTGTTTTATTTTTTTGAAGTTTTTTTTTTTTGGATCTCACTTCTTTTTCCAAATCATTTATTATATAGAATCTATTTTAAATTTATAAAAATAAAATTGATATTTCTGTAAACTCTACATAAGAAGTCTAAATTATTATTTGTTTTTTTAATTGAATAGAGTAAAATAAAGGGAGAGGGGATAAAAAAAGCGAATATATACATATATTTCATATAATTTATTAATTATAAACACTTATTCGTTCAATTTATAAATTATTATATATACCTGCAATTTTTTTTCTTGCTGCAAGAAATTCGCAATGTTAATGATGAAATGATGAAATGACTCCATTTCTATAAGCTCTACATAAAAAGCATAAATTAAAAACACTTCAATGGTATGGATCTATTCTGTATGAATGAAGACCTGACAATTCAGATTTTGACAACTTACCTTGTAGTCAAGATTAATAAACACTTTACAACACAGACTGCAATTTGTTATTAAACCCTACATAAAAAGTCTAAATCGAAACATTTTGCTGATATAAATTAATTAATAATGCAATAGTGTAAAAACTTTTGACACTTGGCAGGTTATGAATGATGACATCTTTTTCGACTCTCGACGCTCGATGGCCGACGGGCCATGCCGAACCGAATGATTCCGAGAGTCGACGAACGACGGTCTGCTTTTGCTTAGCTCCTATTGGCCAAGGGTTGACGACGGGAAAATCATACGAAAAATACCCTTTCCGACAGATTGATGACATGATATCTCAGTTGTACGTGGACGATTTTATTGATTTTGGTTTTATTCGAAAGCTTATATGCGGTTTACATAAGAAAAATGCCTTTACATTTAGAAAATATTGCAGGCGTGTTAAGATATTCATGAAAGAAGTTTCAGGTTAAGTTGGAATGGACCATCTCTCCTGTAAAAGATACGTGGTAGCTCCAACGCCAGGAATATATACGCGGTGACGGATAATTTTTCATGTACTTGGCGCCGAGAGGCTACCGCGTCTCTAGATCTGAAACAACAGTTTTCTAGTAGCAGATATTCGTCCGCGGTAGAGTGAAGAGCAGAAGCAAAATGTCTAGTGCATATACAATCAGATTAGTATGTATTGCATATATGCTAATAAAAAAAATACAACGTAAACGACAATGGGTTCATCCTTTAAATATGAAACGTATAAATATGGACCAGTTTCGTTTATTATACAGGGTGGTCCACCTAAGTAAGAGCACCTAAATATCTTCTATAATTATGGGGGTACACAAAATATTTTGTATGCTATTTCAATGGTTTGAAAAAAACCATTCAAAAGATTTCTTTTTTCTAGGGTAATTTTTTTCAGAGTTTACAAGGTTATCGATATTTTTATGCGTATAAATGTATAATTTTGTTTATCGCATCGTGTAGCTGATGTAAAAATATGTTCAAATATGTACATTACATGACCTTGAAACGACCTTTGAGTTCAAAAATTAAATGGAAACGAAAAATTATGGTTTGTCGAGACTTTACAGACGAAGACGTCGTTCGGGAATCTGTAAGAGTAAATAAACACGTTTACACTATGAATGACTTCTGACATCGCAGAAATCTTATTATTCTCAAACAATTCGTCAGTTTACGGTGGAACATGATTTCCCGACACGGTCCGCGATCCGTGTCGGGAATCGTGCAAAATGAGAGTTTTCCGACTCCTCACACCTTTACGGGAAAACCCGAGCGCCAGGTATCAGGAGATACCGGCGTGAGAAGCCGAACTGCTAGCGATCCGGATCGCGGAGAGGACGTGGATCGTCGGCGAGGAAAGGCAGTCTGAGAAAGCCGTCTTCGCGGCAAGACGAGGCGAATTATCACAGCACTCGTTTAAAATAATATAGAATATATTGTACGCGAAAGATGTTACAAAATACGGTGTACACTGGCGAGCTGTCGTAGCGTCTAAGGTCACCGGGACGACCAGTAATCAACACGAGAACTACGTTTCGATAAGACGTGCTGATTTCGTTCACGATAGCCCAAATTCTGTCGTGATTCGCACAAAAGCGACTTTGGAAACGATATTCGGACAGTCTTGACGCGGTCGCAGTGGGCTCGACCTCTTCGACGAGAACGTTAACCGGCAGCAATCTAAACACGTGCGCGTTACAATGGATTCGCGACTAGATGTTCGTTATTTCGTGCGATAACCTATGAAAAGGCGATTTTCCGCTAACAATGCTATTTCGACCGACAGGATGCTCGGCAGCCACCAGATAACCCGACCAATTTACGATATCCTATTCATGAGCGTGAGGTGAAGGAAGAAGCGCTTACCGTACCGTTCCGCACGTGCGTCGCTCGAAATAGGACGAGATATGTGAGCTCGTCGCACGCGTTGGCTCACGCGTTTTCCCCCAGCCTCACCTCAATGGTCGGCGGCACGCGGCACTCTATGGCGACCAAATTCAAATTACGTCATTGGCGGTCGTTCAGTCCTGTCCCTCGGCGACTTTGGTGGCGTGTTGGTGCTGGCATCCTTCGAAGGCTCTGGAGCGGGTCGGGTCTCGGTGCACTCGAGAACCCGGCTGACTCCGCTGTCCTAAACGGCCTCCTGCCCCTGAAGGTCGTAACGGAGTCCAGGGGCTGTTACCAAGATCCTCCAGCCTCTGTCCATTTGAACTTCGTCTGGCCAGCCCGTGCAGCCGGCGCCGGGTTGAACGGGATCAGTAGCCTCTAAGCCGCATCGCTGGATGTTGCCGTCGTTAGCCCAATGTTATTGCCCTTCAGATATGTAAATTAGTCCTAACCCTAGGTTACCCTGGTGGCGCTCGCGATCTTGGTCGGCAATCTGCCACGTCACAATGGATATTATCTTTCGCGATGAGTTATTCAAAGCAAGAGAAAATTGATATGATTCAGATTTATGGTAAAAGTGATCAGTGTTTAAGGCAAGCTGTTCGATTGTACCGAGCGAAATTTCCTGAATGCAACTGTCCATCGCGTAGACATATGGAAAGGTGATCAAGCATTTTTTTGAAAGTGGGAGTGTCAATACGAAGAAACTTACGCGAATCCATAATGTTACAAACCAATTAAATACGAGATTTATTATGGAAAAAGTTGCCGAAAATCCGCATGTTAGTGCACGACAATTGGAACGCGTAACTAATATTTCCAAAACAAGCATAATACGAATACTTCATGAACAAAAATTTCATCTGTAACATGTGTCTCTCCATCAGGATCTTCATGGACATGATTTTGAAAATCGCCCGAATTTTTGTCAGTGGGGTTTACAGCAATATGAAAACGATGAATCGTTTTTTGAGAGAATGTTGTTTACCGACGAGGCATCTTTCATCAATCATGGTCAATTAAATTTGAGAAATATGCATTATTGGTCATTGAAAAATCCACAATGGTTAAGACAAGTGGATAGACAGAGGCCTTGAACCATAAATGTCTGGTGCAGTATCTTGAATAACCAAATAATTAGTCCTTATTTCATAAATGGTACATTAAATGGACAAAAGTATGTACTTTGTCCATTGTACTTGCAAGATGAGTTACAGATGCTTTTAAATGACGTACCATTAGACATTCGTGGAAGAATATAGTATCAGCACGATGGTTGTCCGGCTCATTCTACACGTCTTGTAAAACAAATTTTAGATATAAAATTTCCAAATTCTTGGATTGGACGTGTACTAGACGTGTAGAGTGGCGACCACAATCACCAGATCTCACGCCTATGGATTATTTCTTATGAGGACATTTAAAAGAAGTTGTTTATTGTGAACAACCAACAACGCCAAAGAACATGATGTTGGAGAACCCGATTGAAGTTAAAAGGAATAACCTTAACAAATTATTTATTTAACACTTTTACCTTCTTACTCTAGGTTTCTAACAATTAAA